AAATTTATACAAGTTAATTATTAAATTTGTACAAATTAACATTTGATTTGATATTTACTGTAAATATCAAATCAAATGTTAATTTGTACAAATTTAATAATTAACTTGTATAAATTTAAATATCAACTTGAACGCCAACTTGTATATATTTGAATATCAACTTATATGAATTTAAATGTCAACTTGTATGAATTTAAATATCAACTTGTATAAATTTAATGTTAATTTGTATTAATTTAAATGTTAACTTGTACAAATTTGAATATTAACTTGTATAAATTTGAATATAACTTGTATGAATTTAAATATTAATTTATACAAATTTAAATATCAACTTGTATAAATTTAAATATCAACTTGTATAAATTTAAATGTAAACTTGTACAAATTTGAATATTAACTTATCACTTTGTATAAAATTAAATGTCATTTTGTATAAAATTAAATGTTATTTTGTATGAAATTAAATATCATTTTGTCTGAAATTAAATGTTATTTTGTCTGAAATTAAATGTCATTTTGTTCGAAATTGGTGTCAAAAGGTATATCGCATTTTTCACAGTAGTTTGCACTGTTTTCGTCACTTTCTATTTTGATGGCAATCTGTACTGCTTTAAGTTCATTTGGGTCTAAATTAGTTTGGTACATTGTTAGGAACATTGCTTGGTTTTTTATTGGTTGATAATTATGTTCTTCTGGCTTTTCCACATGTTTTTCGCACTATTGACAGTAGTTGGATTTTTGTTGATTATTCATTTTAACTTTTCTTCAATTTTTTCTATGAGATTTTTAAGGTTTTTTTTTTTTTTTTTAATATTTGGGGTGTAGCTTCTGCTCCAGACTTTTATTAATACTTAAGTAAATTGACATATGGTGGTACCATAAATACATACATATTATATATCAGAACTAGAACTAGGACATTAAGTACTAAGACTATTTATTCACAGCTAAAACCCACCAGAGCCGTTAACATTCCCACACATGTGATTGACCTGGATTTTATACATTCCTCCCCAACCACCAATTAGTATTCACATGTCTGCCACATTACCTACAAACTATTTAGCTTCAACTCCCAAATCAGTATGTACCAGGTAGGTGCTTATTGCATCTGGTTTGGTGTGCCTGTCAGCAGGGTTTTCTCTCTTAATCCCTACTTAGCATACTTCCAGGAGTTCATATCTCAAGCCATGCAGCTGCCTCTACCCGAACAGGTAAGTATCTCAAGCCTGCATGCTGCTATAACTAGCTGGTTTTCTACTACTTTCAGGACCTAGATCTTAACGTATCTAATTAGGTCTGTGCCAATAACTGTATTTCCCAATATGGTAACAAGGCTGCCCAGACATGTTTTGCAAATGTTTCCAGTAGTCAGTATAGTTGGGTGGCATTATGAGGCTCAGAGGTAACAGGTGCGTCATCATTTCTTATAGTAATTCTTGGCAGTTGTAGCCTCCAGTTACCACTACATGCACTTATACCAGCTATACCTATATTGGTGGTCCCGAGTCCTTTTAACGCCAAAGCTAGTAGGGCAAAAAGGGGAGTTCTGGCACACTTTTTCGGTACCCTGGGTACTAAAGTATTCATTTTGCTTTTTAGA